CCTCTTTTGGTTACTTTTATTCCATCTGATGAGTATTTAAAAAAACAAAGAAAAAAAAAACTTTTTCCACCCACCCCTTTTTATCATTTAAAAAAGAAGGGTAAACAATGTTGGTTGGCTTGCTGCACACAGGGTTTAAATTTCGTGGGCCACAACAAAACTGGGAAGAATGTGGTCTCCAAGTCGCACTTCGCCCCCTTTTGGTGTATTAGGGACAAACTGTTTTTGGATTTACAAATGAAATTATACATAGAGTATATCGTGATACCGTGGTTTTAATATATTCAGCTTTTAAAATTTTTCAGTTGGAGCGTGATAAAAATACAATAGTATGCTAATTCTGGCTCCACAAGTCTAATGTAGAAATTATGAGATGGCAAAAATAACAATGAAATAAAATATGTGAACAAAGAAAAGCCTATGTAAATACAGTACCGGTAATAATAAATGATCATATATACAGTACAAGTAAATACCATATATGATGCCAATGGTTTAATAAGCCAAGGTCCACCGAGGAATTTCAATTCAATATGTTTATTGTTGCAAAGCCATTGAGGGCTACCGGTATTACAGAATAATTAACAATACAAAAGTAATACAATAAAAATACAGTAATTGAGGAAGCTTAGCTGCAATATACATAGTATGTAGTACAGTACACTGTCACACACACAAAATTTTACAAAATGTATATTTTATTATAAATTTATTTTATATGCTCAATAAATTACTAATGTTTTCATATAAAATTCTTTAAATTTGTTACTAGCTTATAGAAGTAGTTTTGCGCAGTGGGAATAGTTGGTTTCCAAATATTGAGTCAGTTGAATGATGCATTTTGTCTGCATTTCTTTCTTTACCAATAGGAGTATTTAAATGGGTACCTGGTGAGGTTGCCTGCTCCTCTGCTGAGTACAGCAATAACACTTAAGCATGTGGACCATGACCTGGGATAAATGCACTTAGTATCTGAAAAAAAGCCATTAAACAAGGAAATAGTAAAAAGGAAAAAAAAAATCAAATAGTAATAAAATAAATTAAAAGAGATATACCGGTAAAAGGAGGCCTAAAAAATTAAGCAAATATCTCAAATTCCAAGTCAACAATCAAACAGTAATTAATATATTTTTAAAGATATTTAGCTCATCAAAGATGTAGGTCTAAACTGGGCACTCGCAGCGTAACGTCACTCCTTGTCAGCGCTAGATGATGGGACGCTTTCTGTGGATTGTCCGTGATAGTCTGGACTAATCGTCAATAAAAACACTCCGTTGCGCACACCGTTTCATTCTGCATAGTATCGTTGGCTGATGACCGTCGGCCGCAGTGAATGTCCAGCTTTAGAGATAGTCAATTAATTTAAATCACTTGATAAAAGAGTTATTGAACTTTAGCTGTTTCCCCAAATAAAATATTACCTGTAGTTATTGAAGGGGGAAGTAGAGTACTGTATTGCACATGTAAATATAGGTAAACTTTGACTAATTAATCAAAAGTAAATCTTAAATTAGATAGTGCATGTCAACAGTTCCTCTTTCAATCAAATTGTATTATTCAGGAACAATTTATTAGAAAATATTAATTTTATTTTATTGCATGTGTCATCATGATGGACCAATATCTCCTGATAAGTTTGTTCACAATAAAAAAAAAAATGTTTTTTTATGGGCTGTAAAGTTACTCACAATAAAAGTGCTGTTCCTAAAAATTATTTTCTGTCATTTCTAACAGTGTGATTTTTAACAGTGCACTGGTTCTAATCTACTAATTGAATTAAGTTTAACAACGGGTTAAGTTTAACAAGAACTCCCTCACGTAACTGTAACGTCACGGTTTAAAGATACTATTGGGTTAACAAGTTAATTCCCTGGAGTTACTTAGGCTTTAAAGATACTATTGGGTACTACTGGTTAAGGTTAACAAGCTAACTCCCTGAAGTCTTTTAGGTTTAAAGTTACTGTATTAGGCATTGGTTAAGGTTAACAAGTAACTCCCTGGAGTCACTTTGGTTGAAAGGTACTATTAGACATTGGTTAAAGTTAACAAGTTAATTCCCTGGAGTTACTTAGGCTTAAATATACTATTGGGTACTACTGGTTAAGGTTAACAAGCTAACTCCCTGAAATCTTTTAGGTTTAAAGATACTATATTAGGCATTGTTTAAGGTTAACAAGTTAACTCCGTCTAGTCACTTTAAATTATACTATTTAAGGTTAACTTCAGATTAACTACTATTACAAGATAACATCTGGGGAGTCACTAGGTTTAAAGATATTATTAAATTTCCAATTGGACACTGGTTAGGTTAACTTAACTCCCTGAAGGCTGTTTTCCACTAGGAAAATTTATTTGCACGAATGGAAAGCTGTGTGCTTCCTGAGCTCTGATCGGTTGCCCTTTTTTTTTGCCTCGCAAGAAGTAGAAACAATTTTAACTACTGATTTTGCTGAAGCGAGAAACTCCGATTGAAATGTGAGTGCATATGTGCATGAACCAACGCTTTCAATTTGCGCGAATAAATTCGCCTAGTGCAAACAATACTATTAATTGACCAGTTGGACACTGGTTATTTAAAGGTTAACAGGTTAACTTTCGGGGAGTCACCGGTAGGTTTAAAGGTACTTTTAATTAACCAATTGGACCCTGGTTAAGGTTAACAAGTTTGTGTTAATGCTAATTAAATTTAACAATAAAACTAAATATATAAATTATTGCTTGCTTAAAGATGCACAGAATGAGTTCCATTTCTACCAACATGCAATTGTGACCGGCTTTGGCAAAACCAGCTGTTTGTCAGAAAAATTCAAAATTGAGTTTTTAGTTGTTTTAAATTGTGCATGAATTCTTCTTTAATACAGTGTTTATTTGATGTAAACCGGTTGAGTATTAGTGAAGTTATTAATATTTAATTCATTGGATATCAACCATGTATGTTTTGAAAAAACAGCTTCCAAAGATTTCAAAATCAATAGTTTATTAAGATTTGTACAAAAAAAAAAACTTGAAAATGATCAAATAGATCGAAATGTCTCTCTCTCTTTTCGGAGTTACTGTCTTTTTGTTTTATTTAAGACTAATTAGTGGATCCTCTGGTTTTTTATTAAGATTTTTAAAATAATTTTAATATACTTTTTAGTTAGATTAGGTGATTGATATTTTGCAGAATGTTCTTTAATATATCCTCTTTTATGTAATGCAAAAACCTGAAAATGTTCAAAATTGTGATTCTCAAACATTTTGGGTGCTTCTGAGAGATTATAAATTACGACAAACGGAGGGTTTTGCCAGAATCGTTCACAATTTCTTGTGATCGAGTTTTTAGCTGCAAGTACCATAGCGTTCCATCAATCTGTAGATCATCCTCTAGCTCAAATTGTTACGCATGTTGTTATTCATTCCCATTTCTTCTTACCTTGATGTGGATGGATGAAAAACTACAATGTTTCATTTTTTTAGGCATGATTTCCTCAAAAACAGGTTTTATTCATAAATTTTTTCAAAGCTCATACATATCTCTAGATGCTTATCCTAGTGAAGTCAATTAAATACCAAATTAAAGCTATACTTTTGATTTTCCCAACTGAATGATTTTTTTTTGTGAGAACCCCAGAAAATGTACACCTTCCCACAGGGACTGGTGCTTATACAGTAGTTATCATGAAATATGATGAGTATTTGGCCTTTTCATGGCAAGCCCTCCAATGTTCCAGATACAATTGACTAGTTGAATTATAAATAATTTCTGTCCCAGTACGTACTCTCGTGATTGTCATTTGGTCACGCAATACTACATCCTGTTTCACTGATAAAATTAGAAGTAGCGTGCCTTTTCATTAAAGATATTAGATAACATTCTTTTGTACTAGCCACCCCTTGTTCTATTCAAAGATATCCTTAAAAATTTTTGAAATGAATACAAAAGCTTTTGAAAACCTGTTAGACTTTTTGGGATCATGTCATTGAATAATTAGGCCTTCAGAACATAAAAGTTAATCAGTCGACCAGTTTAACACTAGTCATCTAGTACTTTTAAATGCTCATGTCTGATAATGAAAAAACATGTCATTGTCACTGCTGTCATTATTATTATTATTATTATTATTATTATTATTATTGTTATTATTATTATATTAGAGTAGACTTCTTTCTCATACTTATATATATTTTAAGACAATATGTTTTTCTTATATGTTCAACCAGATCTCCAGTGCACTGTATAATTCACCATCAAAGGGACCCCACTAGAGTCAAGTTTTTGGACTTAGTAGGATATTTTTTGGTGTGACTCGCACCACTCCTACTCCTGGTCTTTGAGGAGCAGTAATAATGTGCTATGACATGCAGTGGGTCATTATCACCATTAAGCTTCAAAAACAACCCCAAATCATAAAGCAAATATTAAGTCAAACAATATTAAGCTGTTTACACACCTAAATAGATCCTTATAATTTGATTGGTAGATTTTGTATCACATGACATTGGTTATTTAAACCATTTCATCACTCATGGAAATTTAGTTCCACCATGCATTTTTAGTTTCATCCATGCATTTTTTGTTCCATCCATTCAGAAAAAGGTAGATTTTTTAAAATAAAATATCAAATGACAAGAATATATTGTAGTGTGTTGTAAAACAAGTAATGAATTTTTTTTTTCGCACAATGGTAAGAATATTTTCATTCATTGGAAGATTTACTGTTCCATTCAACTCGGCTCACCTCAATTAATGGAACAATCAATCTTTCAAACAAAAGAAAATATTCTTCCCATTGCACTCATAAACATTCATTATTTGCATATTGACATACAATAAAAATTAACTTTTAAGTAATAATGCTTTGTAAAACTACTATATAATTATAAGCTGTAGTATATTTTATATGCCATGACCTGCATAGTTATGAACACTTCAGTGTACAAGAGGGCTTCATGGCAGTGTAACCCATGTCAGGATTATTAGATGCAGGCCTACTAATGTAGTTTGTTTGTCATTTTAGAATGCTCAAGGTGAGCTGAGGGAGTGCAATGTTCGACAGATAGCAATATCTCTACCAACAAGTCTATGTGAGTGCATTCTCTATTATCGTGTAGCAATAAGTAAACATGGAACTCAGAATTAAGGGGGATCAGGAGATTAGCTAATCAGAAACAGAAACAAGTTCCATTACAGTAGAATTATGTATAATTTGTAATCAAACCGATGTGTGTTTGCATCAGGAAAATTTCATTTGAGTGATGTTTTGCCCTACCTGACGTGCTATCATACAAACTACTCAGTAATTTCCCAAATGCTTGCGCAAAGCATCACTCCTACATCATATTTGTTACTAAAACCTATCTCCCGCAAATTCATGATATTTGCATATTTTTACAAATTATATCAGTTGTCTTTTTGAAGTCTTTTGGCGATGTCTATCAACAGTGGGGGCATGTGGTGCAGTGGTTAAGGTGTTGGACTTTTGATCGTGGGATCAGGAGTTTGAGACCGATGCTCGTAGCATTGCTTGTGTCCTTAGGCAAGACACTTTACCTACATTTGCCTCTCTCCACCCAGGAGTACAAGTGGGTATCTGGTAGGTTCAAATACAACTGCGCTGATTACTTGCTGCAATATTATGGAATTCTCCCCAGGGAGCTGAGTATGTGTTCCATACATGTTTGATTCAATGACTGGGGTAATTATGTGAAGAGCAGTAGAGGCTGGCATAAAGTGCTATAGAAGACCGACTTATTATTGTTATTAACATGAACATCAACATACAAATTTCTGTAAACAGATTTTTTCAGAAGTGTCTTCTTCCAATATGGGACCCATGTCTCGTATCTGCCAGTACCAATCCCCTTCCTCTCTATCCCATTCCATCTAAATTTTTTTTTCCAATATTAGGGATTGGAAAATGGGAAGAATATTTTCATGATTTGAAAGTTAGACAGTTCCATGAAACATTACATTTTTCACCAAAAAAAAATATTGTTTCCATTGAACTATTAAATTATTATTTATTATTTATTTATTTATTGTCATTTAAACTTGGACCAAAATGGAATAGTTCATAATCTTACAACAAATGAAAACATTGTATTAGGTAAAAGGTAGCCTGTGCAAAATGAATGGAACTAAATTACATCAAGAAAGGGGCCAGTGATTCTTTTAAGCTTTGTCCAGACCTAATACCTAAATTTGGTCATGATGACATCATATCATGACATCATATAATGTCCATATATAGGCACATCATGACCATACATGTATATAGGCATATCATGACTATACATTATTCTTCTCAGCATGTCCCACACTACTTCCTAACCAATTTCTTACAAATGAAGTGAAAGATTTGCCACCTAGACTGGATAAAGATGATGTTGAAGGAATGTTTAATCAGACATCCTTAAATGATCTGCAAGTTAAGATTGATATTAAAATCTCTGAACCAAGTAAGTATTGGTTGTGTTTTTTTTTTTGTTTTTTTTTTACATATTAGGCCAAATTAATTTAATTTTTTGTCTCAAAACTCTCCTGTTTCTGAAAACCTAATTTAGTAATACGGAATGCAGTTTTTAGAATGTTGTTTAACAAAAATACAATTATTGTCGAACTGGGTTTTAAAAGGTTTGTTACAGGGCTCTCTTCAATTAAGAATTACAGAAAGAATAACACGCAGGAATTTACTAATGCGCGGGAGACAAACAGTAGAAAATAATTTACTAACGCGTGGGAGACAAACAATTAAATTAATATGGCCATATATCATATAATGTATATTTACAATAATTTTTTGTTTTATGGTTTGTATTATTAATGTTATTTTTTGTATTGTTAAAGAACAGTTCATTTATATTCTGAATGTGTTTCGATTTATTATTCTTATATTTAAAGTGTCTTTAATTAAATACTGTTAAACATGGAATAGAAGTCCAGGGCTTCTATTTTGGGGGACCCTTTGATAGGCTTCTTTTTAAGATTAATTTACTTCTTTTCCACATTACTTTTGCAAACTAAAGGGGAGGGGCTTCTTTTCAAAATGAATGCTGTAAATATTTGGAATTGTTACTACTAAAAAGTAGGCATACTGAAGACTTTTCCAGCCTAGGAAATTCGAAATTCTATTTTAAACACTCAAAAAATGAAAACATCATTTTTTTAAATTAGACCTGTAATGATCAAAACATGCCAACGACAATCTGTTGTACAACTTAAAATATAAATTATATAATAAAATTGAAGCTTTGGATATAATTTATTACTATAAAATAACAAATAATAGGCCTATGTATAATTTATTAAATATTTATACATGTGTAACCCTGTTTTATGCTTGATTTTTATTCATTTATTTATTTTATCTTATTTTTATTATTCCTTTTGATGGAATTTTTAATGTGGTAGATTTTGATGTACATTTTAATATTTATATATAGTTTATTTTATCAGTCAAAAAATATATTAATTTGAAACTGGGTGAGTCGAAAACGCTTTTAGTTACAGCGATTAGGTTCGCTTTTGTGTTTCCTTGAAACTTGCTCAGTTGCTCTTTGTACTGCTTGTCATGTTATGTTTTGGAAATTAAAAAAAAAAGTATAAGAACTAACTTATTTTTAAAATTACTTTTGCTAAACTAATCAGGGGGCTTTTCAGGATGGGTTTTTTTCTCAAGATTAAGGCCATTTGGGCTTATATTTGAGTTTTTGGTATTAGACCAATATCATAAGTATGTATTGAAATAGAATAAATACATATATATTGAAATAATACTCTATAGTATTTAATTTTCATTGTCAGTTTTACAAAAAAAATAACCATTTAGATAAAAATTTCTTTGATATTTTATTTTGTTTGTTATTGTTGTTTATTGTTTATTTTGTTCCAGATCATAATCGCTTAAACGGTGTGTTCTTTGAACTCAAGGTAGCTGGGAACAAGGATAAAATTTATGGTATTCAGTATTGTTTTCTGCTGGATTTCAATGGCACTCTGAAAATGAAAGACATTATACCTTCTTACGGACCTGGTGGAGATTTGGTAATACAACATAATATATATAAGGCCAAATCAAAAAATAAAAAATAAATAATAATAATATGTCGTTCTTATATAGCGCTTAATGCCTTAACAAAGCCTCTAAGCGCTTCACATTACTACCCCGGTCATTGGATCAAACACATATGGAACACATTGAACAGCAAATTAAATTATTAAATTAAATTATATTATTATACCATATTTGCGGCTAGTAATCGGTGCAGTTGTGTTGGAACCTACCAGGTACCCACGTATACTCCTGGGTGGAGAGAGGCAACCGTAGATAAAGTGCCTTGCCGAAGGACACAAGCGATTTGCACAGCAAGAGTTTCAAACCCCCGACCTCGAGGTTGGGAGTCCAAGACACAACCGATGTGCCAACCGCTTATATTGCGTTGGCCATGCCCAACCAACCCAAAATGTTCGAAATTAAGGGTCAGCATTTTATTTTATTTTTTATTTTTTTGGCTACAATGAAAACTATTCTTTTTAATGAGCTAAAAAGTCAATAATTGGCATATCTTGCTATGGTAGGCGATGTGAATGTATTATGCGATCTTTCTGTTGTTAAATATAGATTTTAAAATGGTCTTTGTTGTATTTTTGTGTATTTACTTTTTAGGCATAAACACATTATTGGTCGAAAACTTTTCCTATTAACTTACCCATTTTTTTTATTTTTCCAAAATGGGGCCAACAGAAGAATTTTTTTTTTAGCCTAATTGGAAGTAAAATGCATATTAATTAGATAGAATTAAATAGAATCATCATTGCTATTTTGTTTTCATATTTTCAATTCTCTTTATTTTTCATTGTTTAGACACTCTCATTTTATCCTTGCATTGATGCTTCAAAAAGTGCTTATTATGCAGTTGTTGGTTATCCTCTTCCACTTATAACTAAACCTATGGACGATTCAAGAAATAATTATCAGCATGGTAAGTATGACCGGGAAGTAGGCATGATTATAGAGGAGTGACCAGGAATGGAAAAAGTGACCAGAGGGATAGACAAAGTGACCTTTTTGGGACAGTGATTAGAGAAAACAGAGTTGACCATGCAGTGACCTTAAAGTTTTTAATAAAGAATGTACCAGACTAGACTAGTTGTACCTGCTATTTGTCCCTATCTCATACTTTTTCCCCTGGTTTGCTAGCTTCAGGAACCTGATAATGCTGGCATTGAATGCCAGTGAAATCTCATGCTAAATAAAAAAGAAGTTAAGTTCTCTAGTGTCATTTTTTATTTCCTTTTAGTAGTATTAAGACTAACCAGGCTATATAACTACTTTTATAATGAGGTAATAATTTCATAATCCAAAAGACAGAGTAAAGCAAAATGTAATGATATACCTGTATAACTAAATATTCTAAGTAATTAATAAGGAAATCAAACATATCAGTGTATTACAAAGGATGATATAAAGTACGTATCTACTGGTAATCAAAATACCAGTACACAAACCATGCTACTTTATTTTTATACTAATTAACCAATTTTTCTTGCAATGACATGAGGGAGCTAAAAGAAAATTGAAGTTAAAGATGTTTATTAAATTTTTAGATTTCATTTAGGTTTAACTGTATAGGTAGTTTGTATAGTAATTAACCCTATATTTCTCTTGGTAGCTTTTAACTATTTTCAGTGGCAAGTAGACGAATGCAAAAATGGTAAGTTTTGTTTTCTTTTGTCATTGTTTTCACCGTTACTTCCATTCAATTATAAAACCTCCGCAAATATTATATTGCCATGAAAAATTAGGTACCCCAAAATAACTTATTGATTACAATTTCATATACTGTACTATGTAACCTCAGAGTCCTATAGAAAATGAACCAATAATGAAGACAATTGGTTGTACCACCATCGAACCCAGTGACGTGTCCAGAAATTTGAAATAGAGGGGGCCCAGTGAGAGATTTTTACAGATTTGCCGCACATTTTTCCATCATGATTGGTGTAGAGTTTGAAAATGGCTTTCTAAACCATTAAAAAAAATATTTGAATCTACCTCTGAAGCCCTCCTCCTTCCCATAATTTGTTTATGAATATTACACTGAGTATTAGCCCAGGACCATTAGTACTCAAGACCAACGATCTTCATCTGAAGTACAGTTGTTCCTGTTGTATAAGCCCCCAGTGGCGAATCAAGGATTTTGAAATTGATGTGGGCCTATGAGGGACTTCACAGATGGGGATCTGTACCACCACAGCCCCACCATGAATAATTTATGATAATTGCATTTCTAGATGGCCAGAAACGGCTCTATCAGGCTAAAATTTTAATATAAATTTCATTCTTTCTCTATTTTCTTTATAATTTTGAAAAAATTTAGGGGTTGGGGCAGCTTGGCTCCTCTTGAATCTGCCACTCAGGCCACTTTAGGTATAAGCCCACCGCCTTTTGCTGTAAAAGTGCTGTTTGTAAAAATAGAATTGATATTTTCATTTTTAATATTGTTTTTGTAGATGCTAAAGGATATCTTTTGAACTATGAAAACTATGAACTGAAAATTGATGATGGCAGATTGGAGTTTAAAGTTAATTCATCATCTCTGTTCAACGACAACTGTCCATTAGCTTTCAAATTTATTGATACTTTTACAGATGAAGTGAAGGTAAATTTATAGCATAATAATCATGTAGATGTTGAGGTGCAGGACAAAGTAAATTAGATTGGATTTATGCGGTGCGAACCTCAAGGATAACCCACAAAAGCATGAAGACTTTCCAGTGGCGTAATTCTGGTGGTGATTGGGCAGTACACTGGCAGACATTCTGTACTGGTACTAGTAGTGGTACTTGTATGGGCATTTATAATGCACCTTTTCCTTGCGGTTATGAAGCGCAGTTATTTTGCCATGGTCATTGGGTCCATATGCTAAGCGTTGCTACTGGTAATCAGCACAGGAGCAAGTAACCCCACCAGGTACTCATTTATAATCCTGGGTGGAGAGAAGCAATTCAGATAAAGCGTCTTGTTCAAGGACACAAGCGAAATGCATAGCGAGAGATTGAAACCCTGACCTTGAGGTAGGGAAACTAAATCGTTCCCGCTGCGCCAAACTACTTCTTGAGAATGTTTCTTTAATAGGCACTGGGCCATCTACACCCAGGATCATCAGCTTAAACATCTTTTCTGAAAGACAGTGTGCTTTTTTACACTTGTCTTTTAATAAATCCAAGCCATCCTCAATGAATTGGCGTTTAAAGCACAAATATATATATATATATATATATCTGTCTCTTACAGACTGTGAACGTTTATAATGGAGTAGCATCGACAAGTAATATTGAACGAGGAAAATACAAAATGAGGGTATTTTATAACATTATTTTATTCGTTTTGATTTAAGGAATATTACCACATTAGTTTCCATTCAAAAGGGTGTAAAAATTTTCACTTTGCCAATCTGATCACCATGAACATTTTTCAGCGACATTTTTATGTGGCCACATTGAGTTTTATCAGATTGTAATTGATTGAATATGGAAGCCTGGATTATTAACCACAAAATCTATGATTTTTATTAGAATAGTTGATATACAGTATTGTCAGAGGCATGTCTAGGGGTGTGCGCAACAATTGCACACCCCTTAAAAAAAAACTTCCCCCCCCCCCCATCACCCCACCATTAAAAATGTTGGACATGAGGTTCCATCCTCCTTTACCAAAATTTGCCTCTTGCAACCAGGGTGTAGTGTCTTTGTGCTAATTACAAGCTCCACAGAATATCAGATAAATGTTAAGTAATTAGATAAACAGAATCAATTTTCTCAGGCAGACAGTAAACTGGAACTACTTTCACAATACTCGATGCTCACAAACACAAATGTTTAACAGAAATAATAAAATAAAATGCAACAATATCATCCGGTTTTTGTTATAATTTTAATTATTATTAATTTGTAAAAATTCAAGGTGTTGTTAAACAGTTTTTTTCTACGGCTTCAAAAACTGCTTGGAAAGCCAAAACTTTTGACTGAAACAGGCTATAGCAGACACTAAATTTCATGTACGTCGTCAAACCAAGGAAATTGGTGGTTCATAAAACAGATTTGTTTGTACAATAACTATTTATAATAGGCATGCAGTACGTACGATTTGTGTACAATTGTCTTGTCTTTCTCGCCTAGTCGTTTCGTAGGCTAGGCCTAGGTAGGAATGACACTAGGCCTAGTCAACAAAGGCCTACAACATTGCCAAATTAAAGCCATGTGGACCGCGTAGATGCTTGACTAAATCTATTATTTGTCTTCATTTTACAGTATTATTGTCATATTTAAAATGTTGTTTATTATCTAAAAACAACATAATTGTAGGCCTAATCCTACCGTCCGTTTAAACGCAATCACGATCATATCGTGAGTCGTGACTTCACTACTAACAAGTACATGTGGGAAATCCCTGATTGATCATTCTGGGCATGCGCATGGACATGCATGGATATGTAAGTTCGAGCATTCGGAAAAATCGTAGTTAATACTATAATAGGCCTAGGTAGTAAAACATTGCCGAGGCTGCCGACCTCTGAGAATTTAATTTTTTTCATCTCTCAGTACTGTCAACCACTGTTTACAAATTTACAACATATGATGACACGATCAAACCAAGCGCTCTTTTATTATTTACTGCTGAAGTTTTTCTGTCATTACGCTGGCAAAATAGTTCCCAATTACTGTTGTATTATTTTTATTTACAACAATTATATATTAAACGTTTCGTACATTTAAAGTAGTTTCTAAATATTTTACACACTAATTTTCATCAATAAAAATATTACTAATAAATGGATTCAAAGTGAATCATGTTCAAACCAATATATTCATCCGCCTTTTTCAGAAACTTCATGTCGTCGTACGACGGCGCCTATACCAAGTCGGGCTAGGCCCAGTAATAACCCTGTACTTTTGTAACTTCTCGTAAAAGGGCTCGTTTTTTACGATTCGAACTCGTAGGTAGGACAGTTTTTTCTGCTAAAGACAAATGTTAACATATTTCATACGATTTTCAACAAAATAGATTTTTTTTTCTTTTTATAGTAAACTCAGTAGGAATTGATTGTTATTGCTATGGCAGTACCCCTCTGAGATAATGACTTTTCCAGCCGCGCTAGCCCTTCATGTACCGCGGTCTGGCCTTCCTGATAATTAGAGTATAATTAGCTATGATAAGAGACCCTGGTTTGATTTCCCGAGTTTTTGTGGATAAGTCGGGTTTTGGGGTAAAGGAGGATGGAACAGCATGGAAGCAAAAACCTCACGCTCAGGTGGATAAAAATAACCTCCTGCCCTCACATATAATCACGCCCCTACCCCACTTCACCTATGCACCTCTATCCACCATGAAGAGTGCTTGATAGGCCACTGTATATTTTATATACAGTGTAAACTGTATATTTATATTATACACTATTTGAAATAGAATTTAAATAAGCCATTATTTTTTCTTAATATATTGCCGGAGCCATAAGCCAGGCTGTAGGGAATTTTTTAAGGAAATAATAGCTCCTAAAAAAATTGTTTATAGCCTGATTCTTACGAGTGACCGGACTATTATCCGGATCTGGAACTAAACGTTAGCGCTAACCGTTAGCGTTATCCAGATACCGCTAGCAGTTAGCAAGCTCTATCGGTTAGCAAGTTGAGCACATTTTTATCATCAACCAATCACAAATCCGCGTTTACAATTTCCAGTTTCTTATTGGCCATTGATTCAATGAACATACTCTTCTTGATGGACGCACAGCAGCTAACGAATAGCAGGATCTGGATTCTGCAAACAGTTTGCTGGTGTGTGAGAACATATCCTTAGAAGTCAGTAGTGACGTCCATCACCTTTTATATGAACTTTAAATCAAACTGCTGGTTGTGTAAACGGTTGCTATATTCATAAATCAGACTATTGATTATGGTCCCTGGTTAGGTCAAATAAAAAAAAATTATTGTGACTGACCCAAAATGTTCAAAATTGAGAGCCAGTATTTTATTTTATTTTTTTTACATTGAAAAATATTTGCTAATGAGCTAAAAAGGCTGGAATAGGCCTATCTTGCAACGGTAGGCGATGGGACAGTGTTAAGCAATCGTTTTGCTCTTCAATATAGATTTCAAAATGCACTTTTTGGGTATAAACAATTTTTTGGTAAAAAAAAATGAAATGAAAAAAAAAAAACTTTTCCTACCGACCTACCCATTTTTTTAAAGTTAATGATAATTTAATATTAGTGTTTATTAAGTAGGCTATAACCCTTAGACGTTTATTTAATAGAATAAAATGTATTGTAAGCATTATTATAAATTATAGCAGCTTTGCCTAATTTTGCTTTTTCTTGGCTTTTTCAGTTTATTCTAGATGGAATGCTCGGGCGTAAATTTCCAAATTATTTCAGTGGTGAGAAATTATTTTAAAATATTTAAAATAAGCATAATTAATTTTTAAGATGTCATTATTAATGTGATATTTTTTCACCAATTTCTATGATATAACCTCTTACTTTAGATTAATATGTGCTATTATACTAAATTGTATGATGATCCATTCATTAGTCGACATAATTTTGCTATGACAGACAATTAGGGATGATTCAATATAATAAAATGTGTATTTTATTCACAACCAGCAAATAAGATAAAAATTTTTCCAAAATTTAGACATGGGAACAACATTATGATTTATTTTATACATTTCAATTATTTTTATAATTTAATTAGCCATGATTAGGATTTACATTATACTATTGTTTTTGGTATCTTTGGTCCTATATTTGCTAAGGTTTGGAAAGTTCAATGGTTGAAGGATACTTTTTACTACTGTAACGTCATCCATCATACTGTGTCATCATACAAAGTTTTCTAATACTTTTTTCTTTTCAAATCCACTAGATATAAAAGTTACTTTTAAAGGAATGTGCCTCTCTTTTCCATGTCGAGACTCATCAATTTGCCAGCAACATGAGGAAAAGACATACAAATGCTCTTGCCCGCCAGGTCAAATTCTGAAAGGCATCGAATGCTACAATGGTAAGCAGGTGGCCAATGTTAACAATCAACTATTTGTTGTATTAGAATTAAGTACATACTTGTAGTATTTGAAAAATGTGTATGTATAAATATATGTGCCCCCTCCCACTTCCTCTAATTCACATTCCTGGATCCTCCACTGTAATGCCTGGAAATGGCACTCTTTGACTGTAAAAATGCTTTTTTTACAGCAGTGTTCCCAGCGATGGAATAATTGGCTTCTTCCCGGACAAAGTGTCCTGTTCCTCCAGGAGCCCTTCCCCCACTGACTGTAGAAACTGAATAACATTCTTTGCTAACTTGGTTTTTTTGTTCTTATCAATCTCCATCAGAATATCCATGTATAGATAATCCATGTGGCAATGGTGTATGCACAAGAATTGAAACAAGCACCAGTGTACATCATGATTGTACATGCTATCGTGGTTTCTATAAAGCACACAGCACTTGTTTGCGTGAGTATTTTATTCTTTATCTCAGATTGATGGATGGATGAATGGATTTATTAAACCAAGGATAATCCATGAAAGTCTAAAGAAGACTTATTTTCTGTACGATCATTCTGGTGGGCAGTCAAACCAAGAGACAATGTATTGCATTGTTTAACCAATGGTTTAAACGTCTTATCTAAAAGACAGTTTGCTATCTTAACTTTCATTTCAGCCCTCCAGCTGAAATACAAGAAGAGCAGCGATGAAAATTGAACCAGGGACCTAGAGATCTCCACGTTTCAGTGCACACACAGTGGCTACAAACAGTCCAGCCGACTGAGCTAAGCCTGTCACTTTCAAGAAAGTACAAAGCATATTTGGCAGTGGACGATATCAAATGAATGATCCGTAGGCCTATCGCTGCCTACCTCATGCTCTACTTACTATTTCTTTGCTCTCTGTTGTAATAATTGTATATAAACACAGCTTTCAAATTTGACCATAATACTTTGCCTCCTTATTTATTCTTTAGGCGATCCATGTAATGATAATCCATGTGGTCGTAATTACGAATGTAAGGTCATCGAATTGGACTCGGGCATTCGCCATATTTGTGATTGTAATCCTGGGTTTTTTGTGACAACAGATTTGACATGCGAGTGTTAGTAATTCACACTTTTTATATTATTTCTTTTTACATGCATAGTATAGGTAAACAGTGGGATTCGGCTCAACCCATGCTACTAGGGAATTGGAACTTAACCTCTGGAAGCATATGTTTCTAGGGGTCACGTTGCACACAAATCTGCTGCACTCTGAAGCTGAGCGCACACTGCGATAAATCCTTTTACTTCCTGTGATTGCTCAAAGATGTTTGTTTGCTTATTGTCAGTGGAATTCTGAGTAGAGCCTCAAAAAGAATCTAATGCACATGCATGTTGCAATCTCTACGAAATTGTGTTGTAAACAACCATCACAGCAGTTTTTGTGTAGTGTTTGCCTGACTGAATGTGCTGCCTCGTTCGCTGCACAATTTTAACCTTGAGGGTGCTTCTACTCACCAGTTTGTTGAATTTAATATCTGCACCTTTGTGTCCATAATATCTCATTCAAAGGACAAGTTAATAAAGTGGAGTACCCAAGAACATAACCAAAAGCTCTATATTAGAAATGTTTGAATTGTGAAATGTGCAGTTGTTAAAAGCTTTTAATATTTATTACAACTATACAGTACTCTCAAGAATAAACAAAAATTGACCTCTCAGTCAAACTTAACAATTGACCAATAAGAACAGCGGTAGTAGTATGCGCTTGTCCTACAAACACACACATGCTGTACTTTAATAATAACAGTATTCAAGGGGCGGGGATTGGAGGAACAGTCTGCTAT